GGGAGAGTGATGCACGAGATGATCACTAAAGCCAAAGGAATGCAGAGTTCAAATATGAGTACCAGCCTTATTAAGAACATGGCCTTGCATAATGCACCATCAAAGGCCATCACACTAATCCCATACATATAAGAGCATTCTACAAAAGCATAATACTGTACCATCATAAGCAAAGGAAAATATGCTTAATGAAAAGATGGCCATCCTCAATGCACCATCATTGCAATATCATCTAAAGCCATCACAATAATCTCAAACATGTTAGGAGGCATGCCACAATGTCAAGCCTATAATCGATCATACTCTTATACCATTTTAAGGTTCCTTTGCATAAGCAGCGATACATTTTCTGCTACATGCACTTCCACAAATCTGAGAAGCCAGACACAGCAGGAAGATAACCGAATCAAAAGGAAGATGGCACCTAATGCCACAGAGAGAGAAGAAGGACACAGTGACCTGAATATAAATCCACCTGGGAAGCCAGGTTATTTGCCATAAAGGAAAGATCACATGCTAAGAACCTCAATGTTGAGCTATGCCTTACATGACCCAATAAAATGCAATAAGAAGGATGTCCTCATTTTTAGGCTCCCACAACTGCAAGATATGATAACCACAAATCCTGGCTGCTGCCTGCAGAGGCATTGTGTGTTTGATTGGGCGAAAGTGGATAACAGAGGTAGCAGTTGGTAGAAGTGGCCAACCTTCATTTGGTTGTCATTCAAAGCCATCTTGCAAGTCACCTTATCGAAGGTGATCAGATGAAATCTTCAAACTCTACCTAAACTTTGTTGACTTCTGATTGTGGAGATCCAAAATGATCAGAATTAGACTCTTCTAATAAGTATATTCATGCTCTGTGATGGCTACAGCAATTGGATTGTGTCATTGGTAACCAAATATAAAAAATTGTCATCTGTAAATCCATCAGCAATAGGCTGCCCCCAGTCAACAACTGACCAGCCAAACATGTTCCATTGTCATGTACCAGCAAATGGTCATGGCCAAGCCAGTACAGTCGATTGCTTACCCACTATTGATTGTTCCAATTAACCCAAATTGAGTGGAAATCAACCTATTAACAACTGCAGACTAGGAGACTAATTTATATAGCTAGCCCACCAGCAATTTATAAATTAGCTAGCCCACCAGCAATTTGGTATCCCAGCCAGCAACTCGTTAATCAGCAAGATTCAATCAATAACCAACCAGCAATTTACAAGTCACCAAACTGTCACCAGTTGTGGGTCTGCCAGCTATCAACCCCAGTAATTTCCAATGACCATTGAGAATCCATCCATCAAATGTTGGCTTACCAGTGATGTAAACCATTATGTGAATGTTTTGTGGCCTTTGTGGAATATCCTTAATATAGTCTCTGTTGCTCAAGTTGTAAATGTAACTAAGTGGTCTCATTGGTCTAGATCACTAAGTTAGGCTGCTTATGTATCAACCAATTTGCTAGAACTAGGACTCTTGGCTTTTGATTGGATACAGAACTAGCTTTCTTTTTGTATCAAACTTCCCCTGATGTCACTCCCATTTAAGTTTATAAATGAATGGTTTCTTTCTTTCAAGACAAAAAATATTAACTAAGGGTAAAGAGCACGAATAATGGTTTTCCCTTTCCATCTTAATAACAGTCAAGAAACAAAACAAAGAATAATCCATCAACTCAAAACAAAGAATAAATATGATTTATCCCCTAATGTAGTCCTTTTCCAACAACTAGCTTTATTTACAGTGAATGTTACTAATGAAAAGAATAATCCATCAACTCAGAAACTAGTTTTATACTCTTTGGGTACCTTTATATATCATTTTTTTTCTCTGCAAATTAAAGTCTTTCACCATGTGATGCAGAAGGTTAAGTGGAACTTCACAAAATAATGACTTTGTGCCCACTTACTAAATATATAGAAAATATTTGTTCATCTAAGACAAGGTCGTTTTGTTTAAAATCCACTATAAGAACTACCAATGTTAAATGACAGTAATTGTCTAGACCATTGTCATTGGATCGAAAAATTCACCTCTAACACACAGAAAAGGGGACTGCAAGTACAATCCCCAACTTCCTGGCGCACCAAAGTAAGGTTACTTAAATACAACTGACAACATTTTGCTACGCTATCATTCAGAAGTAATCAGAAAAGTTTTCACCTTTTACAATCCAATTCAAAATTTACGGTGTTCAGAGATTAACAAATTGATATTGGCAAACAACGCATATATCAACACAAGATTATCATAAATAATAACATCATATTCAATATTAAAAACAAAAAGACAATAAAAGGAAAATCAAACTCTGAAATTATGACCTAAACGAGTTGCTAACCTTTCCATTGTTCCCATAGTAATCGTTTAATGCCCACTGGTACTTCGATTGGTTCAACCCAAACCAGTCTGCCAAATGCTCATCCAAGCTTGAATGCGCTACAATGAAAAGCATCAAAAGTCGGGCGAACTCGCAAGAAAACGAACGAACTAAGCGCTAAATCTAAAAAAGGTACCATCTTGGACCCTCGCGATGGCGTCCCAGAAGAACCCGAACACCGATCCCGACGAATTCGCGTCCACCTTATCGAACTGCTTCGGCGGGACCTGGACCGGCAGCGGCGAATGAAGAGCATCGACAAGCAAAGGAGACGCCTTTGCAGGGCGGGCGCTCTCTGCTCTCGGGGCCTCGGAAGGCTTCGAGGCAGGCGGCGGGGTGATGAACACCGTGTACCTCCCTGCCTTCCCGATCACCGGACGCGGGGTCGATCCTCGCGGGCGCTCGGCAGCCATGCCGGGCGGGAGAAACTGCCACAAGAGATCGAAGAAGAGTTCTTAGTAGGGTTAGGGTTACGATATAGGCGGGGGGAGGAGAGCGAGGGAAGGTCGAGTCGCCATTGCCGAGGGAAGGGAGTTCAAGCTTTAAACGGTATCCAATGCTCGAGCGAGGATCCTCTCCAAGTGTTGTTGAAACCCTACTTTAATCGGACGGTTTCCAGTAAAAATTGAGCAAGTATGGGGAACTCAACGGTCAAGATGCTAAAAACAAGCGATCCGGTAAAAGAACTATTTCATAGGATCCGCCCCTTCTCGTAGGGAGGCAACTTTGGTCGTCCTAAGTAAATTGACCGTTTCACCGGAAATGCTGTTTCAGACTCAGAAACGCAACCAAAAATATACCCAGATGATCGTGACCGTCGATCTTGTCAATCTTGCAATGATTTGAGACCTTTCCCTCGATTACTGACTACTTTGCGCTGAGGGTGTCCTTCGGGTATCTGTCGTGGGTGTCTTAACTCGCTAATCGTTTCTTTCGACATAAAGGTCTCGATTTGAAGATAATAGCGGAAATGTCAGCGAGAGCCCGCGGTAAATGTAGACTTCTTGTGGGGGTAATTTGGTAACTTCAATAGTAGAAGTGCTTCACCACGCCGCCCGTTTCTGAGATGATTGATTACCTCATCATGTCAATACACAGCATTAGCTTTTAATGATTCGACTAATCCTCACTGTTTGGTGTACTAAAGCTCAATGTGAAGATTAAGCATCAGAGAGGGTTGCTGTTTGGGAAGAGGAGAGTGCTTCAAATACTTTCTAGGACAGCTTTTGACCTTTCTTTATGAAAAATAAAGGTTATTTTTTCCTCATAAAAAGAAGGAAAAAATTGCTGTCATGAAAAAAAAATACTAAAAACACAGAGCTGCTTTTTTTTAAACAACAAATTCCAATGGCGAGGAAAAAAAATAGTGTAGCATTACATCTTGGAATCATTGTTTTTGCAGAGTGCTTCAAATGGTAGGCAGCAGACTGAGATCCACCATGAGATTTCATGTCCTTTCCAATTATGACAAACAGTGGATGATGACATTTATTGATCCAATGAGGCTGAGGGATAGCTCATGTTTGATGCCTCACAAAACAGTAAAGTTAAAAGAGGAACAAACAAAAGAGACAATGAAGCCAGAGGCTGATCATGTATGAAGTTACAATACAGCAGATCAATCCAATAATAAAAGCCCCAATTTCTCTCATTACAAGGTCTAATCCACCAGAATCAGAGTCCACTCTTGGAAGATACAATGTCACCATGACATATTCATGATCAAATGTAATCATGTACATGATACACTTGGTAGTGTTGAATTCAGAGTCCATTACCAGGTTCTTCACATTCACCTAATTTCTTCCTTTGACACAGTGATTCCAGCTTTTTCAGACATGGGAAGGCCCCTTGAATCTCTAAACATCATGCCATGATTACAACAGCTCTATTTTTTTGTACAAGATCTCTTCAGCAATGAGATGCCATATGGTTTCTCCATCATACAGATGTTCCAATGTAAGGAGTAATTAACCTCAAGTCTTTACATCTTGCTTAGATACAGATATTAGTAATGCAGAAACATATTATCTTTACATGAAGATAAAAATGATAGGATCACTATTCAAGTCTCCTATAATACAATATATTCAAAAAGTTATGATCATGAGTTCAGAAAGGAGTTTTTTTTTTTTTGGGCTCGCAGCAAATACTTCAGTTGTACAACTTGAGAGAATCATCAGTAATCATCTTCGTCAACATCTCTCCGCCCGAAAAGTCTTCTGATTACCGTTGCAACAGCACCAAGCACTAGAAATGTAACGAAGACGTCGAAACCACCACCAATGCCTACTGCAACGCTTGGCCCCGGGGCGAAGAATGTGAAAGGTGACCAGCCCCATCCACCATAGAATGGCACACCGTATCCATATCCGCCAACAAGAGGTGGAGCTACCGGGGGATTAATGTAGATGTTTGTCCTGCTCAATACTAACACTTTTCAGTCATTCCTGGTCATTTAATTGGAATACAGTTACATTATTATTTAAGATGATTTAATTGAACTCCAGAATAGAATGTGAATCTGATAACACAGAAATTGAGTAACATATGGCAACATTTGAGCAGAACATGTTGTTTCATCTATATAGAAGGTAAAGATGGCTTTTAAATTATCACGTATCATGACCTAATATGTAGATGTAAAATGGCCCCTTTGTGTTATCCCTTTCAAGAATGCATGAACCTATTCTGCATTCACCAAACAGCCATAGTCTTGGTAATTAGCACTACTTCAATTCAGTAAAAATGTTGATTGGGGCACTATATACAAATCTTAGAAGGAAATGAGGCTACACATTCAAAACCTTCAGGATTCAATATGGATTTAGGAGGAAAGTTTATTCAGAGATATTACCAAGATACCTTGACCACTGTGGATCAAAAGTGTCCATTAAACTGGTATCATGATGCTATTGTGTTACCTCTTTTGTCATTGTAGCAAATATTGGTTCTTCGCAACTTCGATACAACACCCAGTCTCTAGCCTCGACATAGTTGCCGCTGATACTCATTTCATGCTATAGAGAAATCAGGGAGATTGGGATAGAAGCCTCTTTAGAACTTATCTGATGTTGGAGCTTGTTCAAGACTTCAGCATACTGATTTTGCAATTGCCTAATGTCCACTTAGGTGCTGGGCAAGATAAACATTTTCGGGAGAATGATGGAGGGTGTCAATTTTCTGTTTTCTCTTTATAAGTTTCTAACCTCAAGTAGAAAAAGTCAGACATATGCCTCTCTTTACTGGAAGATAAGTTGTCCTCTCAAATGTAAGTTGTTCATTTGGCTCATTTTTAGAGGAAAATATACAGAGTTGATCCGCTATCTCGTGAAGGTAGGAATGGAAAAACAAATTGCTTCTTAAGTAATGGTGATAATGAAACAAACTATTATCTTTTCAATCAGTGTTTGCAAATCAGAGAAACTTGGAAGATATTATGTTCTAAGCTCAACACTGATTCGACAAAGTCTCTATAGATAATCTCTGGTCCTCTCGGAAATACAATTTAAGCAAAAAACTCAGAAAAAGATTGATATCTATAGCTACTGCAGTTATACTGAGAGATATTTGTTGATTCTTCTATGCTTTTCTAATAAAATGGGAGTATTATAACTCATTCTTTCCTTAAAAAATAAATATTAAAAATGACTCTTAATTTGAATGTATCAAATTGAAAACAGAAAAGGAAACAATTAAACCAGCTGCATTTGCAGAATCTAACCAAACTTTTTATAAGGAATACAAAGAGTTCAATGCCTTTTGAGAACTTAGCTGTGACTTTCACTTGTCTGCTGAATTATAACATGCTGCAATTAGATTACTATTGTTTCGTACACTCCAACTCTTCACTCTAAAAGCTCACCCAATTACTACAGGGCTACACAACACCAAAACTGGTATAACCTGTGGAGACTATAGTTAAGAAACAAGATAATCTGATTGAAGCTAAAAATTTCAGCAGAACACTAACACCGTGTATCCCATCTAAGATTTTTCATCCAAGTACTAAGAAATTTGCTGACGAGTTAGTCCTTTGGCTACCTTGAGTTGTTAATCCGGGGGCCGGAGACCCTGGGAGCTGCTGACCGGAAGGCCTGACCACCAATTCTGCCACCGGACTTCGCGGCCACCGCCGGTTCGACAGATCCAAGCGTCAGCACCCCCGCTGCTACTGCGACCATCGCCAGTTGGGCCAACTTCATCTCACTTCTCTCACTGTTCCATTGATAGAGCAAAAGCAACAAGATCAATAACCAATCTAGCCAACAACTGGAAGCCAAGAGTAAGCATAAAAGACTGTACCTTGATGAGCCCTTGTCCATGGAGGACCTGCATGGCTTCAGTGGGATCAGGTGTGGCTTCTTGTTGTGCTTGGGGACAGGGGGGAGTGGCCTTCCAGTGAGAAAGCTGAGCTGAGAGGAGGCTAAGGCCATGGTGTTTGATGGAGGAACTGTTTCTTTCTTGCCTTGTGGCAATCTGTTCGTATGACACAGCTCTGAGAACAATGGCTTGATATTGTGGAACGCAAGCTGAGATTGGATTCTCTGCTTTCTATAGATCCAGAGCTAACCACGTGGCACAAGGATAATGGTTTGTGTAAGTTTCCAGAGTCAAAGATCTTTTTAGTTCTTCCTCTTTACTGGCTGTTATTATTTTGATGAACAAAACAACCTCGGAAATATCAGATATGTGTTAATTTACTGGTTCTTTTTTGGTGTAGAGCAATGCATGGAGCATAAGAAGAACAGATTGCAATGTGAATAGCTTCTCTCTCTTTAAGAAAAGCTATGCATTGCAAGAAAACCTGCAGCCTATTCTAAATTACAGAAATAATCCATTTATTTTCAATTTCAGAGGTAAACAATACTTATCAACAATGTGATCTATCTTGCATGCAAATGTTTCAATCCTCAAAATTATGAGTCCTCCATCTAAATATGCAAGATAGCACATAGGACTAATCTGAAGTCACTTCCAACATTCTTCACCTCAACATCAATTTGATCAAAAATATTTCAAGCTGATTTATCACAAACCGACACCAATAATCCTAATTAGGCTTTTTAAATTCTTAAATAATTTCAGCTGGGAAAACAGAGGTAACAAAGCATATAGGAGCTGCTTCATATGGCATAGTCCCACACAACATTCTGAAAGTTGTGATACATGTCTGGGGAATCAATCAGACATGAGGAAGAATCCTAGATTTATTACAAGTCTGTATTCACAGAGGACACAAACGGCTGAGGTTTTAGCCAGATTACTGTGATGGCAGGACAGATGACTTGCAGATCGGGCACCAGTTCTTCCGCCGAAGCCACTGGGCAATGCATGTGGCATGGTAGCGATGCTCGCAGGACAACTTCCCTATTTCATCCTCACCAACGTATTCTTCCTGAAATGGAGATAGCACATCAACCTCAACCAGAAAAATGAACAAGGACATAAATGGCTAAACTTCTGAAGATTGCTTGGGCATTCTAGAGAAAATAATTAGCCAGCAATGATTAATCCACAGGCTGTGAGCAGATCAAGCACA